CGACTTGTCCACACAAAGGTAGGGATGCCGAGGGAGGGGTCGGGGGGGGGCTGGCCGCGATCTCTTCCTGTTTGGCTGCCTTCGCTATCAGGAGGGAGGAGCTAGACCTGTTCAACTTGCTCTGTGCTGTGGGACTCTTCCCCCCCGGCTGCGGGCATGTGTAGCGACTCGGGTCACCGCTGTCCAGAGGCTTGGCCGTGTTGTTCGCCGCATGCTCCGAGCATGGACCGGGAGACGATGAGCGCTCAGCAGGCCGAGGAGGAGCCGGCTGCTGCCTCCCATCCGCCACTAGCCCGGCTGCTTTCCGCCCTCTTCTATGGAACCTGCTCTTTCCTGATCGTCCTGGTGAACAAGAGCGTGCTGACCACTTACAGGTGAGCCGAGGGGACAGGGCTCAGCCCCCTCTGCCCGGCTCCCTCCTCGCCCGCGCGACCTGTGAGCTGGGGAAAGAGCATTGATGCTGCCGGCGGGGGGGGGGGGGGGGGGGAGCAATCCGATTTCATCCGCGATCCACCCACAAGCGTTCTCGGTCTTGTCTGCAAATCCTTGGGTGTGGAAATAACTTAGCCGGGAGGGTAAAGTTGCGCCGCGCCGCGATAGAGGTAGTGAGGGAGTTAGCTATTCCGTTTCCTCGTCTCAGGGTGGGCTGAGTCACTGGGTAATTTGCTGTGGAGCATGTACCGTTGGTAGAGCCCTGCCAGGGTACAGCTCGTGTATCCGAATTTATAGCCACAAAAGTGAGCTGTGGATATCGGTGTGGACGCCCACAGATATCTGCAGGTTTGCAGGGTTCTCCCTACAAAATTTGTATCCATGTCCATATCCACAAAAACCAGCTGCAGGTATCCGTGGATATAAAGCAGAGAGCCATGATTTTGCAGAGTTCTAACCACATGCCAGTACTTTCTATGGTCACCTTTCATCCTGAAGGATCCTGAAGCATACATAAGGATCCTTAATGAAATAACGGAGCCACATCTGAGGTGGAGGGTAAAGGCAACCAGCTAGCAAAATGCAGTACAAGTGATACCTCCCTGGTCCTGTACTGCACTGTCGGGACCGAGTGGTCCTGAAACAGGAAGTTTGTAAACCTCATTTTTTAAAGAAGAACGGATCTTTCTAAAAGATTTTTGTTGTTGTTTAAAGAACCGTGTCTAGACTGCTTTCTTTTTGGAAAGAGCCTCTTTTGAAAAAGCAATCGGAAGAAGATATGGAAGTTATACATGCCAAATTTGATTATCTTCTTTCAAAAGTATCAGAGGGGTAGTCCTGTTAGTCATGCATCTGACGAAGTGGGTCTTTGCCCACGAAAGCTTATGCTCCAACACTTCAGTTAGTCTATAAGGTGCCACAGGACTCCTCGCCATTCTTTCAAAAGTGAAAGCGAAACTACACCAGTGCTTTAAAGGAGGAAGTGTTCTGATAGTCTGTGCAAAGAATTACAATATTCAGAAGCCTACTGGTAAACGGTTTTTTTCTCTTTGTAACTAAGAGTATGTCTAGACTGCAGGGTTGAGAAGAGATATTCTGAAAAAAACTTCTGAAAGTGAGTGCCCACACTGCCAAAGCACATCGAAAAAACGATCTGCTTTTTGGAAAGACACTATCTGGCATTTAAGCCATGATTACTATAGATGGAGTGGCCACCAGAGCATCTGTGCTTTTTTCCTCTTTCCTCTTCTTTCTGAAAGAGCTCTTTTGAAAAAGGCGTTCTTCCTTGTTCAATGAGGTTTACCAATGTCAGAAAAACCCCTCTGTTCTTTTGATTTTCTTTCAAAAGAACATGTGGACATAAGTGAAGTCTTTTTGGAAATACTGCTGTTTTTCTGAAAACCCCGCAGTCTAGACATACCCAAAGTCTTCAGCCCAAGGGCTTTCCCTGAGTATCTGTATCAATGGTGTCTCTTTTCATCTAGCCAATTTACTACGTTTGCAACTGTAGTTTTGTTTTCATAATAAAAGATTGTTCCTTTTTTTCTGATTAACTGGTATTGGTTGATTCTTGAAAAAAGAGCTTGGGATATCCTTTGGGTTGGTTTCAAATGTCTACCCGTTTGTTTTATTTTGGAGTTCAAAGCATTTCATGGTGGCAGCAGTCCCCCAAAATCTGGGTATTAGGGTTTTGTGTACAGGGGGAGTTTTTGTACCAAAGCCTGTTGAGGCAAGGATTTGGAGTGCTCTTGCAGGCCCCATACTTCTGCATTTGTCATGCCAGAGCGAGGAACAGCCTTGATAGACCTTTGCAATGAACTCTGTCATTCTTAGGGTTTAGACTGCAACTTATTTGTGTTATATGCTTGTTTATTTTAGCGTGTAAATAATTCTTGTTTCCTTTTTTTAATAATCTTTTAGTTAGTCTATTAGAGTATGTCTACACCGCATGCTTATTTTAAAATAAACAGTTTAATAATCTTTTAGTTAGTCTATTAGAGTACGTCTACAGTGCATGCTTATTTTAAAATAAACAATTTTGGAAGAAATATTCTGAAATAGCTTATTTCGAAATAGCGCATCTACACACCAAAAATAGCTATTTTGAAATAGAACGTCCACACTGATTGGACACTGAATCATATTTAAAGTCACCCGGAACCACTTCAGGCAGGGCATCAGGATGCAGCTACTTCCAGGAACTGCTGCGTGAGGCTATCCCCATACAGCTGTTTTTCAGGTTCTTCACTTTTGCCTACCTCCTTGAGGGACAGCAAAGCCTTTGCTCTGACTGCTGTGGTGCCCTTCCGGACACCTCTGCACTCCAGCCATGGAGCCGGAGCTGCCTCTAGGCAGTCAACATTCCTCATCTGTCTTGCAGCAGTTTCTGCAGGCTGCCCTCCTGGCCCTTCAGGAACACAACTCCTAGCTGATTGAGGGAGACCCTTATCATCTGTCTGGGAGCACAGCTCTTCTAGCTGCATCCCACCGTGCACCACCACTTCTGGGGTCTGGACAGCTGTTCTGATTGGTGGGACTGGCTCATCATGGAGCAGTAGGACGATCAGCAGTGGCTCCAGAATTTCTGCATGCGAAAGGACCCTTCTGGAGCTGTGTGCCTGGCTCTCAGGGCCTTTAGGGAGGTGCACACATCTGCCATCCGGTTGACATACTCCCTGGGGCCTCCTACTAGGAGCCTGTGCCTTGCCCCTCTCTGCTTTTCCTCCAAAATATCCCCACCCCTTTCCTCCCTTCCCTGCAAAGACAATAAAAGAGACATTGATTGTTTGGAAACAATAAACTCTGTGTGGTTTTTATTTGGGGTCACAGTAATTAG